GTCTCTGCGGCCGCAGTGCTCGTGACTGTTCCTGGCGAGGTCACAGTCGGGGTCATAGTAACTGGCGTGGAAGAGGTTTCCTCTGGCGGGCCGGGATCATCCGCACGTGAGCAGAGGCCAGCGGGCGGCGCATTGAACGTAGCACAGGTTGCTCCCAGACCACTTGCTGCCTTGAAATCGTCTCGGGAAGCTGATTCACCAGTCCCGGTGATCACATCTATTTTGGTGGCATAGTCAAGGTCTCCCAGGCCTTCGTAGGAAGCCGTGTAGAAAGTGTAAAGACCAACACAGTCACCCTTTGTCATTTCCACGGTATCATCATTTAGGGTGGGAACCGGGCGGTTTGGGTCACCAACAGGGGTCTTGTATGACACGTGCAGGTTGACAGGCGAGTCAAGGTCGTTGCGGACCTATTTCTTGATGTCAGCCGCTTATAACTTAATTAGGTAGAGTTCAAACTCACAGCTGCCACAACCTTCAAGTTCCCTTCTAGAAGGCAGCTTTGAGGTGTCTGCATGAAAATAGTATCCTGTATGGGATACGAGTCTCCATTGTTGTCATATACCTCAGATGTTCCACTAGCCATATTGACTGTCAAGGTGAAAGACGAGATGCCCGAGGAGGCTGGGATGTTAACATTAATTGGAAACCACTAAATTTTACGTTAGAAAGAGGGACAACAAGACATAATTCTAACTCCAATGCGAACTCACCACAAACGTGTCGTCAAAGCCTTGGGTAGCACCTAGGAGGTTGGCGGTATACGTGCAACCCAAGTTACCACAATCATCACCGCCGCTTCGGTCTTTGTAGGTCAGCAAGACACTGTCTGCGGAGTCGGACCCAAAGTCGGTAGTGCGAACTCGTATCAGCCCAGACAGCTGCATCGTTGAAGCTCCAGAATTCAGTGTGAGTTGCATATCGACTGGCTTGACGGCATAAGGCTGAACGGGATCAGTAAGGACAACGCCATCCGGAACAACCTCGATCATTTTGCGCAAAACTGTGGCGCAAACGCTGCTGAATGTGCTGGGGTCTACCATGGCAGCCATTGTCGCATTTCCATCCGAGTTGAAGACTTTGAAATCCGAGTTCCTCGTAGCTTTGATCGAAGGGCCAACGACCATAGGGTTCGTTGTATTACCGGCGATATATTCGGTCACAATCTTGTTATCAAATACGTCCACCGTAGAGTCCATCGTCCCCTCCCCATCTGCGGTACTACCCACTGGGACAATCTGGGGAAATTCGGTTTCGTGAACACCGCCGATGGTATGACCACATGCAACAACTTGAATCATCTCGGTCTGGCTGAAGCCCATGCGCGAAAACTGCTGCTGGAACGTGAAGGCTGAGTTCTGGGGCAGAGGAACGCCAATAGGGCCACCCTCTTTCGCATCAACCCTCCCACTGGCATAGGGGACCACGGGACCACCACAAGATCTCACGGCATAGTACACCCCCAAAGCAATCAGATCAGCCACACCCGACCTGCTTGTGTAGTAGTCGGCCATAAATTTGAGTGTCTCATTAAATGCCGGGCCAATATTGTCTGAGCTTGTAAGTTCGTATTGTAACGACCCGTCTAGGCCGCCCGCTCGGCCGTCAAAGATAGTGGTGGTCGCCATGTCGTGAAAAGCAGCCCGAAGCCACTCTGCGGCATTGTGACGCCCAGGTCCTGAAGCTTCGCTTGAGCAAGGAATGACGGTTCCACCGAATTGTCGTGAGCGATAACCTTTCACCTGATACATGATCTCTTCCAACTCGTCGATCTGAGAAGGCCATGTTGGATCTGCCTTTGCCAGCGCACTCAGCGAGAGCATCGCCGACAAGAGATGTGTATTCCACCGCATAGTGAGGACTTATCCTGGTACGAAGCCAGGATAGGGCAGTATTAAGAATTAAGTAGATTACCTAGTAAAAAACAACGACATATGCCACGCCTTATCTGGCGAAATTAGGGAGATCGACGCGGATGAAGAACCATCTTGGATCAACTCAGCACGAAACGAGGGAACGAAGGATGTTAATAAATTACAAGTCATGTTGGTGTATGGTCTTCTCCCAGCTACCTACTCTACGCCGTAGATAGTGGGTGACCCTTCGTCGAATATTGTTAGCCTAGGCTGTACCGATCCCTGTCGAGTACCAAAGTAGCGAGGATGGAATACGAGAATTAAGAAAAGTGGCTAATGTGTACGATAGGATTGGATGGGCCTGCTCCCCGAGCGTCCAGCCGCAAAACTGGAACGAACGACTAATGCAGGCAGGCTGGAGACCGAGACAATATATGTACATAGAAGAGGTACGTGCTGTACGTAGCGTGGACTATCTAGTGTATGTAACATTAAGGAGAGAAATTAGACAAGGCAACTAACCGCCTACTTGGGAACCAGATGCGACCCTACGATCCACACATGGAATTCCCAGGGGTCCACGGGACCTACCGAACTGAACAAAACGTCTCCCGAACCATGTCCCGTCAACCCCTGGTTACTTGTAGAACGTGGGCGGCCATCGATCACCGTTGAGGCTCTCCGCAGGTATTATCCGAGATGGCGATAGATTCGGCGTAAAAACTCCAGACCCCCTCGTGGACGATCGAGCAACGTGCTAATTTGCGCCATCGCCAGATGGCTATCCTCGCTAGCTTGGCGTGCAGATGCATGGCGTCGCTCTGAAAGAAAGGTTTAGACTACTACTTACTCGTCTAGGTATCCGAACACACCACCCATCACAACTGTCAGCACCCCAGAAAGCAGTCAGATCTCCAACATGGTGGGGCTCGATCGAGTCAAACAACAGTGCCTGAGTTGATAGATCGGTAGTCAGATGATGAGAAAATAAATGTTTTTCAGCTTGACAATACAGAGTACCCCTTCGTACTTCATTCCCGAGTCGAGTGGGTATAATAGAATGATTTATCTCCGTGGTCTAGTCTTATCGCGTTCTACTACCTACATAGGTTGCGTCCAAAAGATCCCTGAATGTCTCAGGACTTCAGTGAACGGGACAATGAACGCCAAGAGAAATAGTGTATTAATTATGTACGTATTATTGTGGTCAACCCATACTGCGTATATCTATTTTCTACCTGTCTAGATTACCTAGCGCTAATGGACACACTACAATTATAATAATTATAATATGAATACTATATTCAACGAGTCATCTTTTCGAAATGTCTCCGGACTAGTCTAGGATCGCAACGGGTAGCCACAGTTTTGAGGGACCCCTAGATCCTAGGGACTAGGGTGGAGTGTGTAAGTCCACATAAGATCTACACGACCCTGTTCTTCGTCGGCTGTTTTCTCTAGTTGTCAGCTCGAAAGGTTTTTACTACCTACCTATGCTACAGTCGATGTTGTCCCCTCAACTTAAGCATTAATATCAGCCCGCTGCCAAGGCAAACAAGGTGACATGCGGTTGAGTACGACACCTTTTGGTTATTCGCTTACTATGCTATTAATTATACACCCTAATTATCACAGACGCAGCCCTGAGATCGTCGAGACTAGGACGTTGAAAATGTTTGTCAACACGTACAGCTGAAGAGAAGGTTTTTTGATGGGAGCACCTGGTCTTTTTCATCCGCCATATTCGCTTTAAGATTTGGTTATCAAGCTCTTAACTATATCCTTATGTTTCGCCTCCTCGAGACACGTCACGTGTGCTTGATACTATCAGCATTCGTAGGTATCGACATATGCATTAACAAACTTCTTTTTATTGATGCATCGTACGCATAGCGCGTGACGTACAAAATCCCGACTTTTGAACTACTATGCAGTTCCGGTAGATATTTTGGCCGAGTTAGGGGTACTTACACATACCTACTGCATACCTAACTATGTGCCAGTATGCCCCGTGTCTGAATAAGAGGAGCCGGAAAGGAGGAAAAACAAACGGGCTTCACATATACATAACATGTATATAGATGCTATACATATCCAAATATTTACTATATATATTGAGTTACTTAGAAAACGGCATACCCGTACATACACTATAGGAAACTATTGGCGAAGCTCATCCTGCATTCCACCATCCACATACCTAGCTAGATACCTTACAGAATAGGTATCTACTTACACTAGATAAACCTGGTATAAGCCGCATATGCCGGCCGATGCAGTCAGACCCTCATTACACTTGGTCGCTTAAGCACAAAAAAACCTACACCGTTCTCAATGTCACCTTGTACCTACATCAGGTGCCAAAGAATCCCAATACATTACCATAGCAAACCAGCACAATAAGGCGTGCATCTACATAATCCTCATCCGATTGTCCCGGCTACAACCTCTCGCTATTTGTAGCCTTGTCAGGCGGCTGTCAGCAATTGAAGTAGTAGCAGGCAATGTTTTCTGCACGGCATTAGCCCAGACCGTCGTCAATTAGGGAATATTGCAACCTGGGTCGGAGAGCTGCCGCTCTAGAATGATATTCACTAAGACAGACATCGAGGGATGTGGAAACTCACAATTAATGAGCGATCATTTTATCTTTCCATAGATAAATAGAGAAATAGATAGTGAGATAATACTACCACAATACAGCGATATATGAATGAGGGTGGGTGTGATGGGAGGTCATACATAATCTTTATTAACTCTACCTAGCCGGCCTAAGGCCAATCAATCATATTATATACCTAGGTAGTCACGAATACATGTAGGTATATTAACCACAGTAGAGTAGGGGATTCTCATAAAACTGTGCCTACCAAATACAGAAGGTCGCTTAACTTGCAATTGTCACATCCAGTTGAGACCAGCCCTCCGACAGCTGATGAATTTGAACGTGACGAAAGGGAAAATGGCGGTATGCCATTTTTTATTCATCATTCCAAGTTAAGTCTTGACCACAAGAGCATTCTCGTACCTAAGAGTGTACACAATAAATAAGAATAACACACATAAAAAAAGATAGCTCAATTCAGAAATCGTGCTAGATAATGAAGGTCCAAAAGAGAAACTCCAATTGGAGTTATCATTATTCTCCGAATCGGGGAATCGAACCCCGGGCTTGACGGTGCCTGCTACGTCGGTAGACGATGAGAGCGTCAAATGTTAGCCACTACACCAATTCGGATTGATGTTAGAACGTGGCTGTATTGGTAGCTACCACAGTGCTACCCAGGTAGTACCGCAGTACTCATGTTTCGCCGACGATATTGCTTCGGGATTAGATACCTAATGCATTCGTCCGAAGTTTTTCTGAAACGTACCGTCTAAATTTACAGTAGTTAGGTATGTATTTACTTCGTCTATTAGAGTCTCTATATGCTAAAATACTAGGTACCTATAGTAGCGTGTTGCCCGTTGTTGGTATATGTATTAGGTTTTCTGAAAAAGTATACCTACGCATAAAGTACCTACCCCTCCATAGAACTGTTAGTAGATTACGTATAGAGGTAAGTAACTACCTAATGTAGTGTATCTAGTGGGGTGTCTATGACGGTCCATGTTGGTTTGCCCCACCCTTGGACGTCTCCTGATTCCACTTTGTTATCTTGTCTGTCATAGACACCTCTACCAAACCATCCTATCTCGATTTCGTTTGCTATCTATCTAAAGAACCAGCCAACTTCGTTACTATCTACACAGATCACCCTATTTTCACCCCATCATATTTCAGTCGCTTGAAAGCCCGGTGTTATAGATGTCCATCGAGAATCTTAAGTCCTTTGGTGTGCAGCCTCAGCTTTACGTAGCCGACCCTTCCACAACCCCACTAATGCATATGCTTAGATCCCTTCCATGATGCTGAAGCAGATGAGGACACGAGCCAAGTGAAGAGCCAGCAAGAGGACTACGTCCACATTCGACTTCAGCGTTAGTGCTCCATGCTTCGTCTTCTGCGCTGTGCGGCATGGCTAACCAATGCAGAGCGCAATGGCCGCAAGACCTTGACAACCGTTCAGGGGTTACCCAACAAGTTTGACCGAAAGAAGATCCTCACTGTCATCAGGAAGAAATTCGCGTGCAATGGCACTGTTGTAATGGACAGTAACATGGGCGAGGTTATCCAACTACAAGGTGACCAGCGCAAGGTCATGCGTACGTAGCCTTTCGTTTCGTTTCTAGTGACTACCATCAAGCTAACAGAGCTTAGAGGAATTCTTGGTTGACCGCAACGGCTTGGAACTTGACCCCAAAAAGATCAAGGTTCACGGCTTCTAGTTTACATCTAGAATACGGAGCCTAGTGCAGAAAACCAACTCGCCTATAAGAATGCTTCGATGATACTTGTCAGATGCTTAATAGCGACAAGATGGTCATTGCTAGGAATAGCTAGTTTGAGCTGCTGCCTGCTCCTTGTATCAAAGGAGCTCCTCCCACATATTAGAGGATAGGTAGATTTTTTATTTGTTTATTACTTCATCAGTTATTTGATTCCATCGACACTGAAGTTCTCCGAAACGAAGCGTCTATCTAGTAATTAAGTAGGAAGGTTATTGGTTTTATCGATTTTGTACCGCATGACGTAATAGGTTTAGCAACCGTCGCCGTGCCATTTAGTAGATGGTTGACGGATAACATTTATATAACATACGTATCCAAGCAATGCCACGCCAGCTATCATACAAAGGCACAAGCTCCCACCAAGTACTCAAACTGACCTAAGTAATATGGCTACTAACTTTTTATTCTCAAGTGTAACGGTATGCGACAAGATATATCCCGCAGGGTATTTGCAGATCTCGCGCCTCTACCAAGGTGTTTGGTTGACCCACTTCGAGCTTCTTGGGGACTCTATCGACCCAGCCAAGTTTCTTCGCCTCTTCTCGATGCTGTAGTAGATGGGAACTCGTAGGGTTTAGACTATAGATATTGGGTTGAACGCTACAGGCAGCGACTTCACGCTGTTTAAAACGTGGATGAACTTGCTAACGATGTCTATATAAGGTAGTTGTGATGTTTTGGTTTCCAGAGGTATAAAGATTCATTGTTGAATATTCTCATATGTCATTAAAACATATCGGTTCACTTAGTCCATTCGTAATACCTACTGAGCCACATATCTAATATCTTTAGGCCAAGGTAGCTGCTCTTTGGGGTACACAAGCATCATAAGTAGAGCACGGAACAGAGGCTAAAAATACGTATACACACATCAGTCACTTCTAGTGATGAAAATGGCATTGTACCTATTGATTGAGGTGATATCCAGAGAGGTAGGTACCTAGGTACCATAGGTAGGTTGTTTAAAACCAATAGCCAATCACGTGAAGGAAGAGCCACAATGAGAAAGAGGTGGGTCAGAGAATCCGGTATTCACTAAACTCCGGGCCGGCAGGTAGGTTAGACAGCTGCCCACAATTGTGCAAACAAATCGGTTAGCCCTCTACTCCCACACAAAATTAATTTGCGGGCATCAACCGCCAATTTTTCGACTTCAGAAAAAATCACCAACCAAATTTCTGTAGACCATCCACCACTAAGTCGAGGTACGCATGCCGCCCACAGCCCAGCATTAGGGTCTCACCTACTCAATACTTATAGCCTTTGTTTTCTGGACTAACTCTCAGACTTGACACAGCCCAGCGACTTCAAGATGGCCTCGAGACCAACTGTCACCATCATCGGCAAAGATGGCGCTCCTTCGGGAGCTACCCATCCTATCCCCGCCGTCTTCGCCTCGCCCATCCGACCCGACATTGTCCAACAGGTCCATACCGGCATGGCCAAGAACAAGCGCCAGCCTTATTCCGTGAGCGAAAAGGCCGGTCACCAAACCTCTGCCGAGTCTTGGGGAACTGGTTAGTCGCCTGACATCCACAGTAGTAGCTGGAAATGCGATTGGTTTACACGAGGAGCAATTGGTGGTTTGGAATTCGCTGCTGATAATGGTGTCCAGGTCGCGCTGTTGCCCGTATCCCCCGTGTCTCCGGTGGTGGTACTCACCGTGCTGGTCAGGCTGCCTTCGGTAACATGTGCCGTTCTGGCCGCATGTTCGCCCCCACCAAGATCTGGCGTAAGTGGCACGTCAAGATCAACCAGGGCCAGAGGTAAGTAGACATCCTGGAGCGAACGGTTCCACTAGGAGATGTGTTTGAAACTAACAATGAGAAGGCGTTTCGCTACTGCCTCTGCTCTTGCCGCCTCCGCTGTCGCCCCTCTTCTACTCGCCCGTGGCCACCAGATTTCTAGCGTTCCCGAGGTTCCCCTAGTTATCGACTCTGCCGTTTTCGAGGGAGGTGCTGCTGCCAAGACGGCCAACGCTTTTGCGATCCTATCCGCTGTCGGCGCCTCTGCCGATGTCATTAAGGCTAAGAAGTCCAAGAAGCTGCGAGCTGGAAAGGGTAAGATGCGAGGCCGTCGTCACCGCCAAAGACGTGGACCTCTGGTCATTTACGACCCCGAGGTTGATGGCACTGAGCTCGTTAAGGGCACCCGCAACCTCCCAGGTGTTGAGACTTCCTCCGTCTATTCTCTCAACCTTCTCCAGCTAGCCCCTGGTGGTCACCTTGGTCGATTTATCGTCTGGACCTCAGCTGCTTTCAAGGCCCTTGATAGCATCTACGGTACCACCACCACACCCTCCGAGCTTAAGAAGGACTTCCTCCTACCTTCCAATGTTGTTGCCCAGGCCGACCTGAGCCGTTTGATCAACAGCTCCGAAATCCAGAGCGTCCTCCGCGCTCCCAAGGGTGGCTCAGTGACCAAGCGCTCCGGCATTCAGAAGAACCCTCTGCGCAATAAGCAGGTTATGCTGCGCTTCAACCCTTACCACTCGACATTCGTCAAGAAGGAGCTCGGCCAGCAGAAGAAGGAGGCTGGCAAGCCCCCCAAGACCGCCGAGACCTTCCTCAGCGTTCTGAAGGAGGACTAAATAAGACAAGCTTGGTGAGCAGGTTGTCTGAAAAGAAAGGTATAAGGGAGCATCGGGTTGCGATTGTCATTGGGCGTAATGGGTTCATAGGGTCTCATGAATCAACGGATTTGTTATTATGAACATTTATTCGCCCTACCCTGTCTTCATATTCCATGTCTCCGATGTCTGAAATCGGTGAAACATTGCACTATCGCAGGAGTAATCAGTGATAGGCTATTGACTGCTACGAATATTTTTGATGTCTTGCATTCTCATACTGTGTAACGTAGTAGACGGTATAAGCTAGCTTGACTGTGATGGTTGCTCCTCGCTCTAATGAATGACCCCTTCAAGCTCGTATTCATTTACACATTATAGCTAGTAACTGACAGGTAGACAAGTAAACTTTGAGTCCAGTCAAGCGAACTATTCCACATCACCCCACATCATTTTCACACACAACCTTGATCTTAGACAAGAGGGGTTAAGGGGAAAGTTTCCCCGAGTTGAACATCAGCGGATAGGATCATAGTTTTTGTCTTTTGCTAGGCTTACTCGATCCCGAGAATTTCACCTGGGCATCTACCTACCTAGGTAGATTATATTGTTATACTATGGTCAATAGAAATTGGTTGGTGTTATGTAACACTTTATGTACTAGTGTAGCTCCCTCCCCCACCCCTACCTATCTAGAAATTCGCTCGAAAAGGCCAATTGCCCCCCCGCAAACGCTGATCAAAACACAATCATACATATCTCGAGCGATGGTGGCATCTCGCTTCCTTGTTAAAAGGATGCCCAGCTTTCTAGTACGGAAGCGAGCCGCACATCCACCTTATCTACCAATACTATAAATTCTAGCAGCCCATCCAACCCATATTGTTCAACCCCTCGATCTCATTGGGCACGAGCCCTGCTGCTTCGTCTAGGAGAGCCTCGAGCTCTGCGACCTTCTTGATGCGCCAGAACTTCTGTACGCCCTGCCCGAACTGCGTTGAGCAGGCGCTGTTCTTTTCGTCCGTCTCGGCAGCAAAGCACAGACGGAAGTAGGCCCAGCCTCGCTGAGCAGCAATCTGTGGGCTGGCACTAAACATGATGCCTGGGCTTGCGAGGACGAGATATGGTTTGTGCGTTAAGAATACCATGAGCGCCGTAGAGAGCGCCGTCCCGTCGATCGCGTTACCCTGGGACCCTATTGCCCCGAACAGCGGGTGTTCCTCGAAGTGGATTTTAACCCATAGGAACATACCACCACGCGGCCACTCGAATTCATA